ACGTCATTGCCTGCCTCCGCTCTTCGGCAACAGCAGAGACGGCTAGTCACGTGACGTCACTAAGGATGATACAGCATTCTCCGCGAGTTGAATGACCCCTACAGACGAAGTTCAATATACTGACGAGGAAAGATACGACTCTTAAACCTGCATAATCCACGACCATAGTTCCTTCGTTGCTCACTGTTTCGTCCATGTTCGGTCTTGAGGGAAACCAACTCTTCCTTCTATTGCGTTCCGCGCGTTTATCCGTTTCGGTCACACTCGGATCATTTCGGTTCCATTCGGCTTTCTCGAATCGTGAAGTTGCTTGGCCCGTCGATTCGAGCCAACTTGCATTCGATTCGATAAACGGTTGCATTCAATGACTACCTATGTGACTCCAAACAGGATTCGAATAGCGTGTCGAAATTGCTCAAATTTTATCGAGAAATCTTGATTATCAGGAATTCGTTTAAATTGATTTTATAACTTGAAATTTTGCTAGCATATTGATATTGTATGACATTTATTATATATATACAGTTTATATTATATTTATCAGATACACATTAATATACAATATACATTATATTATATTTTATAATCAATTATAAAATAATTTTTTTAAATAATTCGCATTTTCAGAAATAATTGTTTGAAGAATATTTTCATTAGAGATTTTGGTGAGATGATCTTTGAAATTTCTTCTTTTAAATATAATCCTATATCGAAAAAATTTAAATTTAGGTACGTATAATTATAATTATAATATATTTATAGTATAATTATAATAATATTAATATAATTATTTAACGTTTAATTATTTAAAATTTATTTTTAAAATATTAAGTTGTATAGAAATATGTTTTAAATATAGACTTTAAAATTTAAAGTTGAAATTTAAAACGTTTAGACATCGTTTAAGCAAGATACCGTTATTTAGGTCAAGCGACACGAACTTGCTATTCTAAGAAAATATCTTCGTTGCCATGAATTACAAAAATATGCGTCAAAAAAGGAATATTGCGTTGAAAATGAATTTAATGCGGATCACTCATTTTCATTGCAATTTGACTCGGAGAAAAATCGCTTTTATTTCGAGTCAAACGTATCTTGATTGGTCTGTTTTTATTCATTTAGCCGGTGAGGAAGTTAAAATTAGTCGTCGCGACTTTACATCTGGGAGTCAGTGACTCCTGTGTGCGAACATTATTGCACCAAAGAAATCAGTTATGCATCACAATTTCTTGTGTAGAGGACAAACATTTCTCCAACTATATATATATACTTTTATACTTTTAAGCGTATAATATTTTCAATGAATAAATTGAGTTCCAACCAATGAAGGTTACTCAATAAATAAACTTCACTAACCAATAAATCATACGATGCCTAAGCGGTTATTCACGGTACCAACTGCTTGAAAAGGTATATTTAAGCATTGTTAAAATGTGACTGAGTATCAGTGGGAAATATTTCTTAGGCAAATACAGAGTGGATCGTTGAAAACCGACCGCCATTGCGTCTTCCGTTGCGCTCACGTGGCAATGGAAGTGTGTTAACAAAAGGCAGGTGGTTTCAAAAGGTAAACTGGCTACGGTGGAAATTTTTTTCTTTTTCTGAATTTTCCTGAATACAAGAAAACTTATTATTTTTCTAGCAAAGCATTTGTAAAGGAATTATGTGATTTCTTAAAAATTAAGTCATAAATTTTACATTTACATTTTAAAGTAAGTATCAATGAAAAGATATTAAATAAGAGAAGTAAAAGTTTGCTTTTTTTTATTAGCAGTAGTTTTTTAGAATAATCGTTTGCTGAGAATAAATAAGTCAATTAGCATATCTTAAAAATATTTTTAACTGCTAAAGTTCTTCTTATTAAAAAAGATATTTATTCATTATTTGTTATCTAAGCTTGTATTTAAATTATTATTGTATAGAAGAAATATATATTCTTTGCATTTTCGTTTTAAAAATTTGATATAAAATGTATTTAAAAAACATAGTGATACATGATAGCTTTGAATGTATTTAATCTTCAATCTATATTTTAATAAAAATCAATATTAATTTTGCCAAAGACATACTTTTAACAATTGTAAAAACAAAAAATCTAAAATTTATCACTTTGACAAGTTTGATGGTTATACTGTCTTATTATACCATTTGTCAAAAGATAGTGTTTGTAAAATGTTTTTAACGAATCACGCAGTACACGATTCCTCCGATTAATATTCATTTGCTGCATAAGTAGATAATATTTGATCGCGAGCAACTTATCCAACCTAGATCCAGTGCGTTATCTTGGTTAAAGTATGACACCATGCTGTGCAATTTATATGCATCCATTTGTAATAGATGTCGTGAAAGTAAGTTGGCACAAGCACCGGTTTCCGAGGGGGGAAAACGCAGCTACCTCACGAACACGTGGTTAAAACGAAGTGCGTGTTATAGCCACGTGGCTCACCATCTGATAAGACCGGTTAACGTGAACGTACTTGCCACTTAACCTAACTGGCCATTTTCTTCTCAAGTCATCTTTAAAAAGTTCCCGCCGATTATGTATATAAATGCGTATATTCATCGTAATTCTTGATAAGAAACAATTTTCTTATTCCAATTTTTTTTTTATATTTTTTTTTATTATATATATTATTTTTTTTTTGTATTTAAAAAATAATATAATTTGATAATTCGAGTGTGTTTTAATGGTATAATGATGTAAATATTGATAAATGATGTTATATTTTTTTATATTGATATTGATTTTATATTGATTTTATATTAATTTTTGCAACTGATTCATGCCATAATCTTAAAATTACAGAAGATGGGGAAAAAAATGCATTCATAGGCAAAATTAAATGATTTCAAGTGATGTATCATAGGGTACGAATACTTTAAGTCTACGTACATATTCGTCTATAGTTCCGAACAAGTGACACGTGGTGCATACGTTTTCACCGAAACATGATCGATTGCTTTTTACCATATAACGTCTCGCCTCGAACGAAACCGATTCATTCCAGTTGACTTATCGATTCGGCTGAAAGTAACAGTGTTTCCGTAGAAATGCGAATTAGGCCAGATAAGCGATCGGAATATTTGGATTTCTTCCATGATATCAACGAGCAATTACTTTCCTTCGATTTATGCGTTGCGAAACTATCATTTCAAAGTATTAGTCAAAAAAGTTTAAATGAAATCTTTGCCAAAAAAAAAAAAATAAATAAATAAATTAAAAAATATAAGTTACTTTCATTTTCACAAGTAAAATAAATGAGTATTATGCTGACAAAAAATAGACTTTTGTTCAGCTATTCGAATCAGGAACGAAAGCGATTCCCTGTTCGTGGCAGACTAGCGCGTTCGTTAAAAATAATTAAATCCAAGCTTAAAGTCGCGGCACCCTCCGTCGTTTCGAAAGAAAGAACTGAGAAAACGAGATTGCAACGCGCGTGTGTATTTTGGTAACGAACCTCTCCTCTGGAATTTTCATCCTTTCCATTTCGACGAACGGCACTCATCTCGCTCTAATTCGTCTCGCTAGCTGCATGAAATAAGGTGGAAAATTATTTATTTCGCTTTTTATACCGTTGACAATATCAAATATTATAATTCTCCATTTCTTTCTCGTGAAACTTTGTTAAATTTTCCTCCGAGATTTTCTTTTTTATTTATATGATACTTTTTTTTCTTCTAAATATTTATGATAAAATTATTTTATTTTATGCATTAATTTTATTTCTTATTATTTATTATTTTTTTTATATTTTAACGACAGTTATTACTATTTAATTTAGTATCGATAATGTAATAAATTTTCCATTCGATATTTTTAATAAAAATAATGTAAGTTTTTTTTTTAATTGTTTAAGTATATGTATAAGCAATTATATTTTATGTAGTTTATTTTAAAGAAGTAAAATTCATACTAAAAGGGCTACTGATATATTTACACTGCCGCGAATATTCAGACATTTCTTCCTGAATTAAAATTTATTTCCTGTAGCAACTGTTTTCGCTAAAAATTCACGCTATAGAAAAATATATGTACGTATGAGTGAAAACGTATAATTTAATAAAAAATTCCATATTATCATTTTTTATGAAAATTTTTATAAAGAATGAATTTATTTAATATTTCTTATTTTTTAAAAATCTTATTTTTTAAATATCTATTCTTAAATATAGGGAATGAAACTGAATCATGAAGTTCAACAATTATATTCAATTTTTCATTTACAGGATTATATACATCCCTAATGAATATTATTCTATAATCTAATTAAAGTGAGAGAACGATAAAACATTTCTTAATATTAGTATTATCAATAATTAATTTTTTTTTTCCAATTTTAATTTATTTTTTACTCGCTATTATGTGCTCTGATAGAATTATAATAATTACTCTTTACGATTATTTAAAGGTTACGCATCATATAAGATTTCCCTTTACTCGCTAATTATCCGGTCACATAATATCGATATTTATGGAATCACGTCATGGTCGGAGAGTAACTTCAAAGAGTGAAGTAATCGCACTCGCTGCGCTTGTTT